AGTATAGAGCCTGGAATAATGGACAGGATACAGGAAGGCAGATTCCAAATGAATGTTAGGTGAAGCTTCCTAACTAAGAGCAATTGGACAGTGCAACCAATCTGCTGAATACCTCTGCGAGATGCAGCAACTCTAAGAGATTGGGCAATGGGTGGATGCTTGGGCCCAATGACTACATAGCCCCGCGTAACTCTGTTAGATTCTGTCAGGTCATAAAGGTTGAAGAATGGGGAGAGAGGCAGGTCACTGCATATTTCTAATGCTCTTCCACAAGAAAGTATATTAAATAATTAATTATGTGCCATCAAGTTAGCGTTGACTCTTAGCAACCATGTAGACAGACCTTCTCCAGAATGATCCTCAACTTGGCCTTCAGGTCTTCCAACAAGACATCCATCACTGCTGTAAATGAGTCCCTCCACCTTGTTGCTAGCCCTCTCCTCTCCCACCTTTCCCAGCGTTATGGACTTCTCAAGGGAGCTGAGTCTTCACATTAGGTGACCAAAATATGATAATGTGAGTCTGATTATTTATGGCTCAAGTGAGAACTCTATGATCCTGAAAGAAAGAAAAGAAATCAGTTTGTGGTAAAACTTCAGAAACAAGAATGGTTGATACCAAATTCAGGTGATTGAATATTGTTTCCCCAGATTCCTTCCTTTCTAGAAAAGGTTAGTATAGCAAAACAAAACAATGCATTGCTGCACCTAATTTATAATACCACATATGAGGAAACCTGTGATCCTCCAGATGTTGCTGAACTATATCTCCTAGCATCCTCCATTGGCCATACCAATGGAGGCTTGTGAGGAACTGTAGCTCATCAACATCTGGAGAGCAATTGGTTCCTAGCCCTGCATAGGATGTAAAATTCTGTTTCCTTGACAGAGACTTTAGATTACCAATAAAATAACTTCTTTAGCATTTAGCTTGGAATTGCGGTCTCTCTCTAAATCCAACCATTTGATTATGTTTAAATATTATAAACTGGTGTTCAGGGATTGGACCTCTACTTTTTAAAGAGGCTAAAGTTTAGCCACTAAATATAATACTTATTTTGAATTGGGAGAGTGGAAAGACTGAATTCTTGCCACTAGACTCAGCTGGCTTCAAAAGTATTATTTAGCAATGCCTTTTCCAACTAACAAATTTCATTAAAAGGCATAGGCTTATATCCTGATTTTTGGCTACTATAGACTAACCCAGCTCTCCTCTTCCTTTATTTAGCAAGCTAGCCTTTTACTCTCTTAAGAGTATTTGTGCAACAATCATATGGAACAATAGTAGTTCCTTAAAACCTGTATATTTTACCACAGTCCTGTAAAATTCATGGCTTAAGAGTATTTTTCCTGTAAAGATGTTGGGACCAAAAATCAAGAGAAAGGAAGATTAAGTTGTCTTATTTCTTAACCACTTGATTACAACAGCTCATTGCTGCACTGTTGGGACCTACTTAGGAAATCAGAGATTTTAGCTGAACCTCAGTGATGGGTGAAATTCCCACCTGCTGGCTGGGGAATTCTGGGAGTTGAAGTCCACATATCTTAAAGTTGCCAAGGTTGAGAAACACTGGTCTAGTTCAACATTCTGGAATCCACTACTGCTGGCAAGTCAACTGTGGACTTCCCAAACTCACCAACCACATTTTTAATCTACGCGATTGTGTGGACCCAACCTGTGCAGGTCATTCAAGGTGTTCTTCATTAAGCAAGTCGTGGTTAAATTACGGGCAAGCACGCCATGCAGACTCAGCCAATCTTGCTTAGATGGCCTCCCATCCCCCAAGGCTCTGCTATTTTCCTGGCTTCTACTGGGCAACTGCATTGGACTACAGTAGGAGAGACTTGCGCGCCTTGCCCCCACCCCCGACAGCCACCCCCAGCCGATCTTCCCTAATCTCCAAAAGCAAAAGGCAGAGGAACCTGGGAAATCATCCTGCGGATCCACCCAGTACCCGAGGGGCGAGATTAGCGCGAAGATCCTTTCCACCGCCCAGAGGACAACCTGAAGAGCTGGGCGGGGCCAGCTGGGCAGGAGGCCGCGCCCCCTCCGGGAGACCCAATGGATGCGGAGAAAATCGATCGTTCGTTCCCGGAGCCTGCCAGACCGATTGATACCGAAGGGGCGATGGCGGCGGCGCGCGTCTTCGCGGTGGTCGTCGGCTGCTACTTCCTCCCTC